GGTAAAAAATGTTAAGATAGTAAGTGAGCTATTCTAAATAGTCATGATTTCATAAAATGGATTAAAATGTTAGTGTTTTAATTTATGTGATTAGCTAATCAAAACCAAACATCTAATAGTAGAATGCTAAAGAAAAACTCATTTACTTCAGTAATGTTAGGTTTAATATGGCTGGCTGAACTTTAGCATATAGCTTATTTTCTTTCCTTTCCTTTTTTTTTTTAAATGTGTTTGGTACAGGATCTCATTGAGCAGCTCAGACTCCTCATAGTCATCCTCCTGTTTTCTATGTAAAACAGGGATTTTACATAGCTGGGATTACAGGCGTGTACCACCATGCCCAGACTTGGTTGCCAGCTCAGCACACCCAGGAGTGGGGCCAGTGGGACATGTGGTACTGGGGACTGAACCCCAGGCCTTGCACCTGCCTAAGCAGGTGCTTAGTCTGTTGAGCGCTCTTCTTTTTTAAGGAACAGGTACAATTTACAGATAGCAAAATGCATGGATCCTTAAAGTATAACTGAACAGATATATAGCTCTTAATATATCTTCTTAAACTACAAAAATACACAACTCTAAAAAAGTCAAATATCACTTGCAGTAAAAAGTTCTCTCTACCTTCCCACATCCTGCATTGAAGAGGAAACCGTCATAGGTTGAATGTGCATACGCACCCACACATACTGGTGCATGCGTGCGCGCGCACACACACACACACTCACACACACTTATGTATGTATATATGTGTACATGACATCCAAAATGTTTACTTATACAAATATGAATTGTACATTTTATAATTTTTTATTTTAAGAATGAGATCACAGTGTTATGCCAGTATCTTCTCCAATATAATAATATCTTTTTTTTTTTTTTGGCAGAACCGGGGATTGAACTCAGACCCTTGTGCTCGCCGGGGAAGCACTTATCCTACTGAGCCATCTCCCGGCCCCTATATCTTTTTTAAAAATTTCTTTATTTGGTACAGGGTCTCACTATACAGTCTGGACTCATTGTGATCTGGCGACCAGCATGGCGTGTCCAGGGTTCTGGGGCCAGCATGGCACGTGGTACTGGGAATCAAACCCAGGTCCTTGCGCTTGTCAGGCAGGCACTTAGGCCACTGAGCTATCTCCCCAGCCCTATAATAATATCTTTTTTTTTTTTTTGGCAGAACCGGGGATTGAACTCAGACCCTTGCACTTGCTAGGGAAGTGCTTATTCCACTGAGCCATCTCCCCGGCCCCACTATAATAATATCTTGATTTTCTCTTTCTATGTTATATAACTCTGCCCCTTCTTTTTTATGACAACATTGCACTGCACTGCACTGATGTCCTTTGATCTATGCACTCAGGTCTCCTAACGACCCTTTGTATTGTTCAACCTTCCCCCATCATATCCCCATAGCAATGGCAGCCTTTAGTATGTCTCTGTACATTTAGCTTTTAAACTTTTATTTTTATTTTTTTCCTTTTTAGCATACCTTCAGTCAAAAAGTAAAACATAAACACAAGAAGTATGTACAGGTAGGAAAAATGTACAGTCACCAAACAAAATGCAACATTAATTGAAGTGGAAACTCAAGCACTGCTTTGTAGTTGCCTGGATGTCCCCAGGGAACAGCAAATCAATGCTTATCAGCCATCCTCAGAAGAGACAATTTTGATTAACATTAGATCTATCTGACTCAGTTATTAAATCTATTAAATCTTAAAGGAAGGACAGTCTTCAGATATAAAGATATGCCTTTGATTAATAATTCTGCCCCATCGCCATTCCAAGCATTAACAGCTGCACGGCACCTCTAGAAGAGAGTGCCTTTGAATTCTAGGAGACACACTTCCTCATATGCCTCCCAAGACTCCCAGGAGGGGCCCAGCTGTACAGGTGTCACCAGGGCAGAAGCAAAGCCCTGGCGACATAATTTTTTCACTGTTTGCAGAGTTGGGGTCAATTACTTGTGACATAATTCCTGCTTGAAGATAATGAAATCTTACTAAACTTGACAGATGCCTGAAGATAGAGGGAGGGCCTGGGGCTCTGCTACCTGATGTGGACTCCCAGGGCTAATGGTTTACACCACTGCTCTTGGAGCACACTGTCCTCTCGCTACCAATTGCCCAAGGTGCTTGCAAAGGGGAAACTGAGGTGGGAAGAAATCAGCTCTGTTTCAGCTGTTTTCAAACTTCTGCCTGGTGCGTGCGACTCCTCACATCCCTGCGTCTCTTCTGATGTTTGTGCTCAGCCACCTGCTGTAGTCTTTGCAGTCCACAGGCTTCACATCCATCATGGTGGCCTTAATTCGAGACTCATCATTGTAGGTCTCTAGTTTGACTCTGATTTTGAATGTGAAAGATGGAAAGTTGGTATGCTGGAAAACTTTTTCAAATGCCTGCTTGTTCTTCTCTTTCAGTTCCCCAAGACAGGCAGTGTTTTGTCCAAGGATAGCTTCAGCAGATTCCTGGAAACATGTCACCCACTGATTCTCTTGAAAATCTGTGATATCTGCAGGTAAGATCATGCAGTATTTGAAGTTGGGAAATTCCCGGTCGCACTTTTCACAGCAGTATAACCCATTCTGCTGATCAAACGCTTTTTTATTGCAATCCAGAGTTGGGCAGGCCTGGTACATACAGTTCTCCTTGCGAAGATACACCACTGTTGCCAGAGCTGAAATAGTCCGCCTTGTCACTTTGGCCCAGGTTCTCTGACTTCACCTCGTATAAAGTTTTCCAGCTGGTGTTGCCTGCTCCTAGCCCCCCACTCTTTAGGTCAGAGATGGAAACAGCATCTAAGGCTTGTCCTTCTGTGTCACGCCATCTGCGAAGCTTATAGGCCTCAGGAATGTCAGGATTCACGATGATAGTGCCTGACGGCAGCACAGAGAGGCTCCATCCACCAAAATCAGAAACTCTGGCTCCTTTTATGCCCATCACAGGCTATCTAGAGCCGTCAAATTTGTCAGCATCTTTTCCCCACAGAGTGGCAGCTACCACTTTACCTGATGTGTCCATCAAGTAGATATTTCTCTCAGCAACTTCTCTGTTGTTAGATTTTACAGTGATTTTAGTAGCATCTTCATAGCTCTTGTAGATCCCAATTATGTCCACAAGTGAGTCTTTAGACTTGTCTCTAGATCACCAATTCCTGTGAAATCAAACTGAACTGTAGGTAAATGAGGGCACCACAGAAGTCTCACTATTGAAAAGCATCTCATAGTCATTCTTAACAGATGAGAACTGCTTATTAGCAATCTTCACGGTGCCTTTTGTGAAATAATACACCTTGTTCGCTTCAGTGAAGGGGAAAAACTTGTCCACTTGATCAGTGAAAGAAGTAGCTCTGATTTCACCACTTTCATCCATCGGTTCTAGAGTGAAAAGCTTCCATTCCCCTCGAGAATTGCTCCAGGTACGGATCTGACCTTTTTTTTTTTTTTGTCTTTGTAGTACTTTTTTCCCCCATAATTTTATTGAGAAACAAATAGCAATGAGACAGTTTCAAACCAAATTGCTAGGATAGTTTCAAAAATTAACACATTGCATACATTCTTCCTAGTGCTTAATTGCTGTACAAGATGCAGACATGATATCCTATTTACAAACACAATTAGAACAAATCCCTCTATTCATTAAGAGAATGTAACTATATATCTATCCTAACCATTTTGAATACACAGATACAAAATGAACATTCATCTGTATCCCCTTGTTTAGTTCCATTATTTGAATATTATAGGTGTGTTAACTCAGCAAAATATTCTAAAAGAGTCCAGTAGTCCATAATAGTATCAGGTCTTCCGCTTCACTGGCAATGTTAGAAATTGTTGACCTGAGTCCCCTATAGCTCAACATAACAGCATGGCTTTACTTCTTATACTTCGTTTTTATACTTTTCTGCTGGATGGTTAAGACCAAGGTAAAGCAAGACCTATGCAACAAGAGTTATAGCTTTTGGGTCTGATAAGGTCAGTGAAATCCCCTCAGGATTTATCCTGAGATCCTGTACCTCAGATTGTAGAACCTTTGTCAGTGTCAGCTATGTGGATGAGTCACGGCCATCGCTTGGCCAACGTGCTCTCTGTGAAAGCCTGAGAGAATGTTTTCTTTCCATGTGACTCTCCTTAGGCACACTCTACATAATCAATCACTTTCCTATTTGGCCCCATAATCTCCTTGATCAGAAAATTTGGGACACTACCAAGTTACATGACGTTACAGTACAAGTTCTCATATGCCCTGAGTCTTAATTGACGTTGGAAGGCTAGGGCCAAAATGTTGGTTTTCCTTGCGGCCCTCCTTTTTCTCTAATTTTGGTCTGCAAACTTAGGTTGTTAACCCTCCAGAAGAGAAGCTTATTGTTATTACCATACAAACTAGGCTGTTGAGCTTAACCTCACTATCTGTCTGCATATCAAACATCTTAGGCATAAAATGGAAGAGGTATTTTTCATCAAGTATTAATGTGTTGAACTTTAAGTCCCTACAGAATATGATGGAAAAACATTTAAAAATTAGAATACATTTTAAAAAATAGGCATAAAGAATTATATAATTCTTATGTTTACACCTAAGTCCAAAAATCTCACCATATACCACCTTGAAGCAGGACAGTCCCACAACATTCCTCTTCCAGTCTCTTGCCTTCATTCACCACCCCCTTCTTTTTGAACAATCATCTACCTGAGAGACAGCACAGTAGGGACTGCCATGTCATGACAAGCAGCCCGTATTCAGAAGACCAGAATGACAGGCACTCCAAGCATGAATTTACTATTACAGATTACCATCCTTAGTGCAGTTGCTTAGTTCACAGGTATCAGTATATATAATTAGTCAGGGTGAGAATCTTTCCATTTAACTGCTAGATTCAAAAATCTTCTGGAGCCTCATGATGAAAAGAATAGAATCAGGAGTTACACTAGTGCTTGGAGCTTGGGTCTTAACATTGGTTGCCCTTAAATTTCTTCCTCAAAGAGATAACATGGATAGGTAGCTTATGTCAGTCTTGATGGAAGAGCAATTGATGCTCTCAGGGAGTTTAATGAAGAAGGAGCTCTGTCTGTGCTGCAGCAATTCAAGGAAAGTGACTTATCACATGTTCAGAACAAAAGTGCATTTTTATGTGGAGTTATGAAGACCTACAGGCAAAGAGAGAAACAGGGCAGCAAAGTGCAAGAGTCCCCAAAGGGACCTGATGAAGCAAAGATCAAGGCCTTACTTGAAAGGACTGGTTATGCTCTGGCTGTAACAACAGGACAAAGGAAGTACGGTGGTCCTCCACCAGACAGCGTGTACTCGGGTGTGCAGCCCGGAATTGGAACAGAAGTCTTTGTAGGTAAAATACCAAGGGATCTGTATGAGGATGAGTTGGTTCCCCTTTTTGAAAAGGCTGGTCCCATTTGGGATCTATGCCTTATGATGGATCCACTGTCTGGTCAGAACCGAGGGTATGCATTTATCACTTTCTGTAGAAAGGAAGCTGCAGAGGAAGCTGTTAAACTGTGTGACAGCTATGAAATTCGCCCTGGGAAACACCTTGGAGTGTGTGTTTCTGTGGCAAACAACAGACTTTTCGTTGGATCCATCCCGAAGAATAAGACTAAGGAAAACATTCTGGAAGAATTCAGTAAAGTCACAGAGGGTTTGGTGGACATTATTCTGTATCATCAACCCGATGACAAAAAGAAGAATCGGGGTTCTGCTTCCTTCAATATGAGGATCACAAGTCAGCAGCACAAGCCAGATGTCGGCTGATGAGTGGAAAGTAAACGTACGGGGAAATGTAGTTACAGTTGAATGGGCTGACCCTGTGGAAGAACCAGATCCAGAAGTCATGGCTAAGGTAAAAGTTTTATTTGTGAGAAACTTGGCCACTACAGTGACAGAAGAAATATTGGAAAAGTCATTTTCTGAATTTGGAAAACTGGAAAGAGTAAAGAAGTCGAAAGATTATGCATTTGTTCATTTTGAAGAGGGAGGAGCTGCTGTTAAGGCTATGGATGAAATGAATGGAAAAGAAATAGAAGGGGAAGAAATTGAAATAGTCTTAGCTAAACCACCAGAGAAGAAAAGGAAAGAGCACCAAGAGCTAGACAGGCCTCCAGAAGTACTGCGTATGAAGGTTATTACTATCACCCTCCTCCTTGAATGCCACCTCCAATTAGAGGTCGAGGTCGTGGTGGAGGTAGAGGTGGATATGGCTACCCTCCAGATTACTATGGCTATGAAGATTACTATGATGATTACTATGGTTATGATTATCATGACTATCGTGGAGGCTATGAAGATCCCTACTATGGCTATGATGATGGCTATGCAGTAAGAGGAAGAGGAGGAAGGGGGGCAGGGCAAGGTGCTCCACCACCACCAAGGGGGTGGGGAGCACCACCGCCAAGAGGTAGAGCTGGCTATTCACAGAGGGGGGCACCTTTGGGACCACCAAGAGGCTCTAAGGGTGGCAGAGGGGGTCCTGCACAACAGCAGAGAGGCTGTGGTTCCCATGGAGCTCGGGGCAATCGTGGGGGCAATGTAGGAGGCAAGAGAAAGGCAATGGGTACAACCAACCTGATTCCAAGCGTCATCAGACCAACAACCAACAGAACTGGGGTTCACAACCCAATGCTCAGCAGCCGCTTCAGCAAGGTGGTGACTATTCTGGTAACTATGGTTACAATAATGCCAACCAGGAATTTTATCAGGATACTTATGGGCAACAGTGGAAATAGACAAGTGAGGGCTTGAAAA